GTCTCTAATTTTCTTTAAGCTTCTCACACACACACATGTGCACGCACGCACATACACACACGCCCATGCAGACTGTGTTGAATGCAGTCTTACAGGATGAGCACCATCTCCTGCTGCAGCGTCTGCAGCGCGCTGAGCAGAGCCGGCTGCATCTGGCTGTAGTGGTGCTGATGGTAAACCTGAGCCGCTTGCACCGACAGCACATACTCATTGTGGAGCTCGTGCAGCTTAAGGGAAGCCTTTATATAGCGCTCCCTGTTCTTTTCTCGCTCCTTATCTGCATAAAGAAGAAGAAAGCACAAGGTGTGTCTGAAACTGATCCTATTTAGAGAAGTAAAAACCCTCAAAGTTCTCACCTTTGCTCATGTCCTGGTACTTCCTCCTTGCCAGAGCTGCGTCTTTAACCGCCTGCCTGTAGCTGGTCTTCAGCCTCTCCAGCTCTGTGTGGGTCACCTATGCAACCAAAATAAAGCATTTTTGAATTCATACATGACAACATAAATTATGACTCTGACAAGATGTTTTTTTTTGTTTGTTTTTTTGCTTTATTTTGTTTTGTTTTGTTTTGTTTTTTTTCGTCTCCTAGCAAAGGTCTTCCCTCAAAGCACGAGATGCAAGTTAGCTGGAGCAAGAAAACAAATTCCTTCACGGACACTGAAGAAGCCAAATCAATTCAGAAACTGACAGCAAACCAATGCAGAGGCTCTTGAACGTGTAATGTGTTCTCTCCCTTTGGTCAAACACAAAATCAGTCAGCAGCAGCATTTCAGTTGTACTGCCTCTGTCTGCCTCTACACTGCCGGCAACTCCGCTGTTCTTCTCATTACAGCCACAAGGTTCAATGCATTTACTGGGATTTCCTGTGATTGACACACACTAGTGTCTTATTGCGAAGTGGGAGAAAAGCACAGAAAGTCTTCGAAATATTTGGTGAAACTCTTAAGGAGTTGTGAATTTGTATTTTCCCCCTTTTACTTTGTTCATTTAAATAAAATCCAGTGTGACAAAATGCTTTGGCATGGAGAAACGTACAGAACGTACAGAAAAGTAACGTATTGGTAATTTGCAAACGTGTTGGAAAAATTAAGCCAAGATTTAAAAGTGTGTGATATAAAGGAAGCCAAACACACCACCTCTAAGATGAAACATGGCTTCTTAATGTGAGGATGATTTTCTTTAGAAGCTGGTCAAAGTTCATGAGTAGATAGATCAGATTAGGGAAGAAAGTTTGTTAGAAGTAGAAACTGGAATGGGATGAAGGTTAACCTCAGTTTGACTGCATTTCTCAGATTTTTTTTTATATAAATAAAAGGAAAACCATGAATCCTTTTTACCTCCACATAACGGTTATGAACTGCTGTTTGTCCATCTGCTGTAGAAAATTCCAATAAACAATTTACATTTTGTTATGTTAATGTGAAAACGTCAACATTTATTAATAGCTTTTGGAGGCGTCAGAAAAGTTGTAAAATAACATAGCGAATATAGCCGGGTGCCAAAATAAGTGACACACACACACACCATTTTATGTTTCATCCTTTTATCGCTTTTAGAAACCCGTCATGATCAACAAAGTTTGGCTTTTTGACAAAATAAAAAATAAAAAATAACAGTTAATATAAAAAAACGATTTCTACAAAATAAGCGACTGCATAATTTACTTCCTTCCCACCAGCATTCAGTAGATTCACCTTGAGCTGCGATCACAACATGGAGTCTGAGTTACACATCTGGAGATGTTACTCCATTCTTTCCTGCTAACCTCTTCAAGCTCCAACAGGTTACATAGGAATCAGATACTTGTCAAGTGCTGTCACAAATTCTCTATGAGATTGCGGTCTGGGCTTTGACTGGGCCACTCCGGAACATTCACCTTGCTGTATTCAAACCAATAAATGTTCTCTAACCCCAGCAGATGGAAACAAATTCCTCCAGTATTTCTCTATATTTGTAACACTGAATTTTACCTTCTACCTTTACAAGCCTGTAACAGCCCTGACAGCATAATGCTGCCAGCACCGTGCTTCATTGTGGGGATGGTGTGCTCGATGTGATTTGTTTTGTTTGACGGCCAATGGGCTCCATTTTGGTCTCATCAGACCAAATAACTTTTTTCCACTTGACCATGGACTCTAACTAACTGCAGTCAAATCCTGATGTAAGTTTTCATTAAAAATTTGTTTCTTATTGCTGCCCCACTTTATTTAACTGAGGTTATGAAAATAGTCTTTCCATTTCTTGATGATGGATTTCAATGAATACACTGATGCTTAGTGCCTTGAATTTTTTTTTTTGGTATCCATCCCCTGACTTATACTTTTCAAAAACATTTTCTCTGACTAGCTTGGAGTGTTTTTTTTATCTTTATGCTATAATGGTAGCATAAGTGAATGAATGAATGGACCTTCCACGTGTCTGTATTTCTGTTACACTTTTTGTGAGAATATTAGCACCAACTGGCTGGACCTCTGTTGAACTGAGTCAGTCATTTTAAGCAGGTGAATAATTATGACTACTGGTCATTATTTTTTTTTAGAAATCAACTTTCACTTTGACATTACCAAAGCTTTTTGTAAAAGTTTTGTCAAATTTTGTTGATCATGACTGATTTGTAAAAGCAATAATCCAGCGGGAGTGAATACTTTTTACCACCAGAGTTTCTTTGCACCTTGACAGTAAATACCACGAAACACAGACACAGGAAGTGGACAGCAGACCTGCCGCGCTTCTCTGAAGGAACATGAAAGCTGAGAAACAACATTTGAGGAAACGATCTGACCTTTGACGTGTAGCTGGTGGAAACGTTTCAAAGCTCTTTGATAGCATCTCTGACTGCTCTGTTGGCTCAGTCAGGTACAAAACGAAATATCTATTGTAAAACCGCACAGCGACGCTCGCTTTGCACTGCAAAGTAATAGAACCATGTTAAGCAAACGACCCAACAAATGTTTGAGCTGCAGCCCAGCACAGATTTACAAAACTTTGCACTTCATTTGCTTGATGTAATTGGGTAATAAAACAAACAGGACGGGGCTCGTTTTAAACTGTGCTGGGCTCTTATGCTTAAGTTTATGAAAATTATATGTAATTATAAAACTGCCACTCATCTGCAAAGCTTTGACATGTTTGCTTAAGTAATTTTTTATATGCAAACAAACATTATTGCCAATTTTCCACATTGTGTAAATCAATTTGTGTTTTGCTTGCCCAGAAAGAGGAAAAGATTTTTAGAAATGGTCGAGACTGAAAGAAATAAGATGATGTGTGTAAAAGTAAACTTTAATGTTGCTAACATTTACAATGTACCTTTATATTGCTTGTTTATAGATATTTATTTGTGGACACCTTAATTAAATATAATGAGAAGTATTTGCAGACTTTTTGTTCCGTTTGCACACTGGACTTCCTGTGCAGTTTTATTGCTCCTCTATTTCAGGCTGGTGATATTTAAGACTCCAGCAACAAGAACAAAACCTCAATGATCTCAAACTAAACACGTTGAGTCTTTTCATTCAGTAGTAACTAACCAGCATTTTGATCTGAAAGTGAAGGGAGTGAGTCTTGGCTGACTGCGTCTGCATTATTAAACTGAATATATTATGAGGAGTCTTGAAGGATATTTTTTTGAGTTTTCTGAGTCACAGGAAGCAAGTCCAAAGATGGATGACAATCATGATGATCGGTAATGGCATCGTATGGAAGCTCTGTCATGTCAATAAGTAGCATTCTCGATAAATAAAAAGAAAATAAAAGGCAACATGTTTGATGGACGCATAGCGTTCATGAGAGGTCCTCACTTTCCAGAGAACTTTGAACTGAGCAATGCTGTTTTCTAGATTATGAACTTAAATATTGACACAATTTAATGGTGCTCAACTTAGACATGAACACATTAAATTACTTTTCTGGGGGACACTAAGGGTAGCCATAAAATTCATTTTCCTTAGCCTTCAGCTTGGTAACTGCTGACACATTTCAGCTAACCATGAAAACAAAAATTTTGGCATCTTAGTTTTTGTTTTAGCCCCTTAATTTTGCTCTTTCTCTGAGAATTAGACTCTCTGCTGGAGAAGAGGAGAGGACAAGTGCAGCTTGTGTTACTTCTAACTTTTCTTTCAGAAGACCATTCAGGATTTTAGCTTGCTAACTAAATATATAGTTCGTAAACAATATTAACTTGTGACTTAAATGTTTCACTTGGAACTCTGACTTTTATAATATATCAATAACATTAATAAAATATGACTTTGAAAAATGAACACACACAAGATAATAGAGAAATTACCTTGTCATCATTTTTCTATGACCAGGTAAATAAACCAAAATACTGCTGTTGTATTTTTACTCTTTACCTTTAAAAGCGGGGTACACTGTACTCCCAAATCTACTCCTCACAAACGCTACATCCCATCATCAACAAACTGTCTTTAGAGTCCAGAGTGTCTCTAAAGATGCTCTGGACTTTTTTTCTTTTCCAGATCATAAGTCTGTCTGGTTTTATGTGTCTATTTGTCTGTAAGAGCCCTAAGCAGAGCTGTGCTTTTAATCTCATTGTACTGCTTATTGTGCAATAACAATAAACCTAATCTAATCTAAAATAATCTGGCTCCAGACATTTTTGTGGCCCAGTTTTCACCTGTCTTTAAAACAATATACGTATGGATGCAAAAGCAGCAATCTGTTCAGGTTTAATAAATCACATTGTGAGTGTCAAGCCATTGCAGTGGCATTGCTGCCAGCTACTCCCAGCATTTAGCATTTTCTGATGATCGACATATTCAGCATATTCATGAAGGCGAACACATTATGCTGCTCTTTGTGATGATGACATCCTGCTAACAGTTTGTAGGTCAGTAAGTTTGCTACTATTTTTAAACTCGCAAACCTTTCAAGGACCAGCAAAATATTTCACCTTCATTTTTTGTGACTTACAGGTGATGTAAGCTCAAAATTCAGTGTCTCATAACATTTGAATTTTACACGTCAGAAATGAAATAATGTTTCAAACAGAAATTTCAGACGTTTGAAAAGTTTGTTTGTTTCTATACACTCAATAGTTGGGGCTCATTTGGTAGAACCCCAGATTTTAGGTCATCTGCATTGTTGGTTCAGATTCTGTGACTCTTTTTATAAATTAGATTAGATGCAAACTTTACTCTCCTGCATTCATGTTTTAAATGAGCACATTTGAATTAATAAATGTTTTAATTGTTTTGGGTGTTTTAATGAGTGTGACTTCCTTTTTAGCATATTTTCTGTCAATTGTTTTTCCTGCCAGGAGACTACAGATGAAAATTAGCCCTGGTGGCTAAATATGGCATATTTACATCGCTGTTTTAATGTATTTATGATAATTAATATGCACTCTCCCTTATAAAATAAATTCTCATCGATGGACCAGAGGCTTCAATTCCTTTTCTCCTTGCAGCTCCTGTGTGAGATTTAACAGCTGTGGCTCTTGATGCGACTCCAGCTACCTCCTTCTGATGCTCTCTCAAATTCTTGGAAATATTTTTGCTTGGCAATCCTCTCAAGGTCGCAGTTATCCCTTTTGCTGTTGGACCTTTTCAATCAAACTTTCCTTCCACTCAACTTTCTAAGCATATGCTTGAACAGAAGTTTGCATGTCCTACTGACTGAGACTCTGAGATCAGGAGGATCAGAAAACCTTTGCAGGTACTTTGAGTTATACCCTTATTAATTAGCAGATAAGGGTATGACAACACGAATCACCGATATTTAACTTTTTAACGCAAACTTTCTGACACACTGAAACTCATTCAAAGCATTTATATTTTTTTAGATGTACTTGTGGGGGGTAAATGGATGGATGGATGTTTATGTCAGTGTCACACCAGCCTTATGCACACCCCTTCAAATGAAGTGTTTACCGAACATTAAACATCGTGTTTTAAAAACTTTTTAAAGACTAACTCCAAGTATTAGAAGAAAAACACTCCAGCAGGAAGTGAACGTGTCAAAGAAACGCCTGTCTGTGTGGTTTGTTTCGCACCTTGTTGAGCTCCTGTCGCAGAAGGCTCCAGTGCTCTGCGTAGGTTTTGCGTAGCTGCTGTTTGTCTCTGATGAGCAGAGTCAGTTTGCTGATGGGCCCGTCCAGGAGCTCCTCGGAGCGCCTCCTCATCACCTGGCTGAGGGACTCCGTCTGCGAAACCAGCACTCCCCACGACTGGCACACACAGGAGAGGGGAGGAAAATCATCAGCTTTTACGTCCAACTCCAGAAGAACATTAAACAGATTTTAGATTTGAATACATGCAAATCGCACAAAGTGCCATAAAATGCCCTGCTTCCACTTTCAAGAACTGAACATCCAAGTGTCATAAACACCAAACACTGTGTGACTACATCCCCTTTTCTGGTGGCTCACCAGCATTTTCACCTGAATAGCAAAACCGTGTTTTAAATAATCCATGTTCATGAGCTCATCAGATATTCTGAAAGCCATGCAGATGAAAAATTGAAAAGACTTTGCAAGATGAATAGTGGTATTGCAAAATGAGTGCAATCTTATGAGGGACTGGGAATTCATTAACATTAAATTAATGAGGGGACGAGCGGAGAAAGGTCTCTTAACAAAACCATTTTACAACTTTTGGTCTTCATTTGTAGTTTTCTGATACATTTTTTTAAACGAACATCATCTTGTTTGACATTTTTAGACTCAGAAGATAAAACGAACTCTACCAGATGTTTCAACCCATCAGTGTAGAAGTAGAGAAGACCCCACCTTGTTGAGCTGACTGATGTAATCCGCTCCCGGATTGGTCTGAGGCCGGTCCATCTTCTCGGCCATGGCAGTCATTTGGTGGAGTTGCACTGAGAACTCCCGTTCGCTCTTCGCCCGCTGACCCATCCACTTCTTCATGATCTCCATCAGGTGAAGCTCGGAGTCCAGCAGCCTCATGACGGCCGCGTGCGCCTGTGGACACCGGAGATCCTCGCCGAAACCCATCTCTGGACTGATGCAGCCTCCTTCTGCCTGGGATGCGTCGTCAGCAGCGCGTTCTCATGAGTGAAGCAGTAGCTGCTCTAATGACCAGCAGAGTCTCTCTCTCTCTGCGGCCATGCAGAGGTTTCACTTCCTTCTGAGCAAGAAAGAAGTGTACAGCGGTTCATGAGAGGCAGCACTTCCTCATGTATGTTTGAATGTGGTTCTACTTTCAATTTGCAAACAACTTTAGTGGCATAACACCTGCCACACTCATCATATATCTGCATGTGTGCGATAAACATATATATATATATATATATATATATATATATATATATATATATAATATTTTATTTATTATATATTTTTTTACTTCTTTGGTGGGAAAAAACTAATGAAAAGTAGATGTTGAACACAGCTGGTGCACTTTAGAAGTCATGCTCCTTATCTACATAATTCATCATGTCTGCTCATTTGCTGCTCTGTGCAACACAAACATGAGATTCTCAGTTCGGTTGTGTTTCCGAGGCTCAGAGATGTCTGCAGGGTCTCAACAAGAACACATTCAAAGTCGTCAGTAAAGCATTAAGCCTCATTAAGTTTCTCTTTATTTGGAATTAGTCGATTAACTGCGACTAAATGATGAAAATCTTAATTATTAAATTATTTGAATTGTTCTGTTTGACGTGATGATTCTACTTTCTTTTCTGTTTTACTGTAAGAATGGGTTTCCCTTGATTGATGTAACATGTGTGTGTTACATACAAGCATCCTCTGTTTGCATGGTTACATTAAGAAGGAAACCGAACAGTTTCTGTTGAAAACCTTACCGTCAACATGAAACAGATGAACTCAACATTGAGCAAATTACAAGAATCAAAGGAATAAAGTAAATAATAAGCTCTAGGTGGCATCAAAACAGGATGGATTTTATCATTACTGCCTTGAATCCACTCAGAAAAGGGAAATTAAACTGCCTAGCAGTGGAATATACATAAAAAATGGATATTTCCCTCTAGGAAACAACTTTAAACATTTTATGAGCAAACAAAGATGTGGTTTTATGGGAGGTTTGGTCATGTTTCATCATTTAATGAACCTAAAACAGTAAAACAAACTTGTAAGTGTAAAGCACTGACAACAGAAAACATGTTTTTGTTTTAGTATAGATTGGTTTGCAAATGTATAAATGGACAAACTAGATGTTTCTCCAGAATCTCAACCAGGCTGTGAACTTTGTCAAACGATCATCATAGTGTTAGCATTCATTTCATTTTTGACAGAAGATTGTCCCTCAATGCTGATTACAAGAAAGTACACCGATATGTGTGAGTCCGTCGTCACAAACTATTCTGATGCAAAAACAGCTAGAAAAAAAAAGATCCCAAGCACAAAACAAGCACTGACCTACACACTGTGCTAAATTAAAAATAAAATACAGCATGACAAGAAAGTAGTTCTGACTGAACTGCATTCAAAGCAGCTTCCCTCCAACTATCAAAGACACAGTAGTTTAATCTCTCAGGCATTAAATATTTTACATGGGGAAATATATTCAACATAGGGAAAGAAAACTGACTTCTAGAGTTTTCAGTAGAGGCACAGACAGACACAAATCACATCTGTGTTGATATCTTGGACAATAAAAGTGCAGAAACCTTCAGCCTGTCCAGAGCTTTTCTGGTTGTTAGAGAGTCAGTCGCGCTCATGGGATTCAGCAGTGTTTGAAACCTCAATCATCCACCGAGTCACTGACAATGTTAACCCCCTTCTATTACACCTCCTGCATTGTACGGGGTTTCAAATGTGCCAAAAATGCTTGTACATATTTATGTGTGCGCTCTGAATTTTATTCACCTTCCCTTTGGGAGCAATAAAGTATTTTTGATTTGAATTTGAATTTAACTGAATATGCTGTTGAGTATGTGAGTTATGTCAGAAGTTAGAACTTGGAGCTGGTTTTACATCTGGTTAAGAAGTTGGAATTAAGCATGGCGACATAAACAAACATGATCTACAGCACCTCTTACAAACATAATTTTAAGCTTTTTACTTTACATAAGCAAGCACCACTTTCGATTTGTTCGGTTTAGAGTTGCAGGCGTTGAATGTGGCACAGTTAGACAGCCTGCAATAGGTAAAGCTTTAGGGATGTTGTGTGTTTTTGGCTTATTTAATGATAAAATGACATTTTAAGAGAGGTTGGAAGGAAAAGGAAGACTGTGGATGAAGAAACGATGATGCCATATTTTTTTCATTGGTGACCCAGTCTACCCTCTAGATCAGTGTTTCTCAAACTTGGTCCTCACCGCCCCCCTGTCCTGCATGTTTTAGGTGTTTCCCCTCTGCCACACACCTGAATTGTATCTCTGGGTGACTAACAGGCTTCTGCAGTACTTGATGGTCATGCAGTCATTTGAATCAGCTGTTCTGGAATAGAGGCACATCTAAAACATGCAGAGCAGGGGGGCGCTGAGGACCAGGGTTGAGAACACTTAAAGGAGCCATTAGATTCAGGTGTGCTGCATCTAAGAGTTGAGCCTGATTGGTCAGTCAGCTTGCACTGGATTTCAAAATTATATTGGTTGAATTATTTTTCTATGGTAAACCACAAAAAATTCAGCTAACAATCGAGGGTCTATGTCGCGATTAAACCAAAAGTTTCTCTCTTTTTTTTTGAATGAGTACAGCATTAAAGCCGGCCTTTTGCCGTTACTTTAATTTATGAGATGGTTTTATTGTTGAGTGCAACCTCCCTGCTGTAAACTCCTCCACAAAATTACACCAACCATAAATTAGAAGCACTTTCATTAGACAAGCTATGGAGGTGAAGAGGCAAGATTCGCTCTGCAAACACAGACCGCAGAGGAAACGGCTGCAGGACGTGTTCATGCGCTGCATGCACAAAACCTGGACATGGGGTTAGATTACTAAACAGTAGTGATGGGTCCGGCAACACCGATGCGTCGGTGAATGCATCAAGCCCATAGACCAAAACCCGTGTCGGTGCGCGTATTGGTTTCAGCAAGTCATGTGACCGACACAGGAACCGTTTCAAAATGACATTAACGCGCCAAACTGTGTTTATAAGGAAGTAAATCTGTCAAAAGCATTTGCCAAACTAATTCTTAACCTTTTACAGCATCAACTATGGAGCAGCCTCAAAGGAAAGGTTTCCGCAGTGTGGCACCATTTTGATCTTATATTGGAAAATAAATTTGTTTTCATTTTTGTTGTTTCATCCGGTTCCAGTTTCTACTTGATCTATCTGAATCCAAATTCAGCTGAAAGTGACTCAGTTTACTTTCATACTATGTTCTGCAGGTTAAGTGTCGCATATGTTTGACTAAACTGTCTTATTTAAATAAATCCACCTTTTCAATGTTGAGGCATTATGATGCATTACTAATGCATTACTAATGCATGAGAATGAAGTCCCAGATACACCTAGATAAACTCAGATATACAGCCATTCTACAAATTACTCAGCTGCTTTTTATAAATTATTTCATATACAGTGAACCCTCGCTATAACGCGGTTCACCTTTAATTGTATCGCTGCTTCGCAGATTTTTTTTTGTGCATTTCTTTTCACAGTGTTTTGCGTCCTGATTGACCGTATGATTGGTAAAAACAGTCTCCGCGCTTCTTCTCTACCTGAGTGCCAATAACGTTACAGTATTCAATACAGATTGGCCATTCAGGAGATG